ACACACACACACACACACACACACACACACACATACATAGAACAGATTTGGATAGATGGTTATTCACTAATAACCAACATGTGTAACATTTTCGTTAAAAGCAGTTTTTGTAGTTGTCTTGGTTTTATAAAATGAATTTTATAATTAGTATTGTTTAGATCATCATACCTCCTTACATGTCAAGCCTGTTCAATTTCTGAGATCCTGTTGGCATACCAAAGGAAAAAGGAAAAAGAAAAAAAAAAAAAGCAAAACAATTTTAGGAAAATCTCATGCATCAGCCTGTTACTTATATGAGCTAGGAATTTTACTCATTCCCAAATATTTTGAAACACAGAAATGATAACACATACTTTAAGATGCATAATCAGAACATTCTTGAGAGTAAAGAATGCTATATCCTTTTGTAATAATCTTTCCTAATGACAGCTACAACTTAATCCAGGAAGCTTTATTCTTCCTTTTTAAATACACTTTTATTTTTTAACGCAAGTTTCTTTTATTTCTACACTGTTATTGCTGTAGATTCCTTAATTGGAAGGGGGAGAAGGGTGACTTGAATAATTTTCTAAGCACTTTCATTCTTGTTTTTGTGCTGAGAGATTCAGCTATCCAGAAAGAATTTAATTATTTCAACATCATTATTTTTTAGATGCCGGACTCTGTCAGGCTCACCCAGACCAAAGAACTTTAAGAAGATTCATTTCATCAAGAACATGCGGCAGAATGATACGAGGAGCGGCAGGTATTTTGCAGGGAAAAAAGCCTTATAATTGGGGTAACACTGACACACACAAATAGAGGAAATGAGAACAAATTATTCTTTTTGGCATATAGAAATGGGATTCTAAATTCAGAACTGTACATTTTCATATGGAAGAACTCTGCAAATAAAATCCAGGCATATTGATGGAGAATTATTTATGTATGCTGATCAGCAAGCTGAGCTACATGTTAAAAAAATTGTTGCTATGCTGTTGCTATGACCTAGAAAGCATGGTTTCTCTGTTGCGAACTCTGCCTTCTGGGATAACATCGCCCCAAAGGTTTTGGCCACCATAACCCTGCTAAGCTTTAGACAGTCTTTTAAAGGGGGTGGGGGTGGGGTTATCGGTTTTTGTATTATGGGTTTTAATTCTGTAAGCTGCCCGGAGTTACCGTGTGTGAGTTGTGCAGCCATATAAATTTGTTTAATACATAAATAAATAATAAAATAAAACATGGCTTTCTCCCCAAGCTCTGGGATAGGTTGGTTTTACACTCAGCATATGCGCAATCTGCCTTGCTTATAGTATGTTGTTCTCCTTGTTATGTTTAGCTCTATTTTATGTTGGCTTTTTTGTTTTTTAGGTATTGTATTGGTTTTAATTGTATGCTGCCCAGAATCCATGCTGAGTGGGGCAGCCTTTATAAATCTACATTATAAATAACATACATTTTATCTGCCTGTCTGTCTGTCCAGATGTGTTGAAGTACAAACTATAACATTTCCAACCATGGATTGGTTATATGGCTTGGTTCCAGCCATGTATTGGTTGGGAATTTGAGGAATTCTAACCCAATACAGCTGGAGAATACTAAACTGAGAGATGATGATGATCTTCTGCATTCCATCCATAGAACAAATGAGCTGGAAAGTCTTATTTGCAGCACAGAGATAAAATTTCTGCAACAGATATTGGGGTCTCTCCATGCAGTTTCACCAACTATAAACCCTAGTTAATCTTTATCAGTATAATCTGTTTACTGAACGTTGTAGCTCTGCTAATCTCCTCTCCACATCAGTAAACTTGATTCGTAGTAATATGCAGATTAAATCTTTTGTATGAAATCAAGCTTACTATTTTGATAGCCCTAGGCATCTAGCTAAAAAGGCATATTTACAGGAGTGATAGGTGATAGTTATCATTTTTCTCAATGACACCTAACATAATAAAATACAGAAGTAATAAAAATCTGCATGTTACAGTGGGACTAGGAAGTATACAATAATAGGCAATGAGACTCTTAGATGCAGTAGAGAATAGTTAGCAGTTGCCTTGGAACCTATTGTTAAATTTCAGTGAATGAGCAACACCAGCCTATTGGATCTATATAGGATCTTTTAAGTACAAAAAGGAAAGGAAACCTGAGCACACTGTGCCTGGAATAATTGTGTAAAGAATTTGTGTCTCTTATTTTGTGCTTGAGAAGTTATGAAATTGGATAGGATAAATGACCACTTAACTTATTTGATGGTGTACAAATGCATGTTGGGCATGCAAGAGGGAGAAGATATCCTACAAACATTTTTTTCAGTGCTAAAATATCTCTGAATAATTGAATGGCTTTCTTTTTAGCCATCAACAATCAGCAGTGGCTTCCAAATCCTGGAAAATAAGGAATTGTGTTTCTGAAATCTGCCTGCTTATTTTATCTGTTTGTATTGCCAGCTTGAAAGCTCTTTTGCAGCAGGAAAGACTTCTGTACGTGACTAATGTTTGAAGCTCTTCAGATTAGAAGCACCTTTTCACAATAAGACTATAGCATGTGTTATATAATAACACAGCAGGCTGGTTTCTAGGAGGAAAGCTTGTTTTCCTATCAAATCCAGCATGGTCAGCTTTGGCTTGCCAGGATTTCTTATAGTGAACCACTTCTTATTCCCTGCTACTGAATCTTTTTCCCAAGAAAGGCCAGCAGCTGAACCTGGGGCTGTCTGCATTCCAAGCAAATACTCAGTCCCTGAGCTGTAGTGTAATCACCAAACATCCACTGTGGTATTTTTACTGTGTGTGTCCCTTTAAAGATCTTCAGGTGAAGATTCTTTGAAATCCTTTCGCATGGTCAACTGCTTCTAATAACTAAGGCTAGTGTAATACTTTGGTTTTTTTTCCAGCTTCAGTTAGGTATTGAACTTTGTTATGAATAAGAGTACTTTTGCTCAGAAATCCCACACACTAGGTAGCAGAGAGATAGAGAAAATTCTTACTCGTTACTGTCATCTAATGGTTGTACAGGTTTCTGCAATCCAAATGTGATAGTTCTAGTCATGAACACCTTTTAATTAAAGATTAGGTGAGCAGTCTCTAGATCTCTGTCCTTGTGTTTTGCTTTATGTTTTTTCCATTTTTCTTGCAATTAAAATACGTAGTTCATGATCAGCAGTGCAGAGTAAAAGCAAGTTTACTAAAGGGTGAATGAGAGTTCAGTTTTAATGCTTCATGAAGTTCAATTCCTGTGGATTAAACAAAAATTCCTAATAGATTAGCGCCTAACATAGCAGTCATTCTGCATTTTATTTTGCCATGGTGCCACCTGTGTTCCCAATTAGAAACCTTGCACAAATTTGTTGCATACTGTGATATTACATTGCATAGTTTGAAGAAGCTGGAACATCAGACTATTTTTGTAGGTTTAATGTCTCTTCTAAACTGTAGTACTTGGTATAATTTTTGAATGAAAACACAAAACAGTGAAGCCATCTGTTTGATGTTAGATTTGGTTAGCGTGTTAAGTATCTGTACTGTCATCTGCTCAGCAGGATTTATCTATTGTTATCTTTATGAACACCGGCAGAAAGACTCATTTATTTCTCAAACATCTCTGGCACAGCATTCTGCTTAAAAAAAAAAAAAATAATCAGCTGTCTCATTAGTAGCTTCCTGTGGATTACCTTGTCAGATATTTAAACATAATGAAAGTGAAAAAAATATGACAGCTAGGGTTGGGAGTTTTGGTGAAAGTTTTATGGAGATGAAAACATCTAGGCTCAGGTCATCACTTTCTTATCTGCTGCCCATTCTGTACTTTCATCGTTTCTTGGACATAGTATTTTTAAAGTTCATGTTAATAATGTTTACAGTATTCTGTTCTGCAGTGGTTCTGCTTGTTTTTAAAATACGCAGAATAGACCTTTTTTTCTCCCACTAGAGATATGATTAATGCTACACCCTTTCAAAGCACTCGCTGCCTGTTCCAAAAGCAGATGATGGGCTGTCCCTGTGCTATACAAATTCATAATGCCTGGGCTTGCACCTGATGTTAGTAAATGAGCAGGGAAAGATGGATTTTGACATTTGAAAAATCCTCCACCCACAACAAAATAATAGGCGCTGTGTTCGTGCAGTAATTGAAGTGTTGTATCAGGTCCTGTGAGAGCCAAGTTCAAGATCACCCACAGCCATAGAAGCTCACTTGGTGCCTTGAGCTATCCCTCAGGCTAACCTACCTCATAAGGTTGTCGCTGTGGGGAAAACTGGAGGAAGGGATGGCATGTACACTATCTAGAGCAAGGTGGGAATAGCAAGGTAACAAAAAAAAGAAGAGTGAGAAATAGGTTTATGAGACCATTCTGAATTGCTGGATATTCTACTCTAGATCATATCCTTTATCTTGTTTGCCTTCTAGAATAGTCCTTATTAGTGGCAGAAGATCCTTCTGCAGCATATTTTCAGTGCTGCCATATCGGGACTGTAGCCATGTTGGGTATGTATACTTTTTCATAGTTTTTTCTGAGCATACATTAAGTGTGACTTGCAATATGGATACCACAGCTGTCATTTCAGGAAAAGGCTATCTTAATAACGTTCTCTGCCCAACTGGAAATTGTTGAAGACCTGGCTATTCTCCCAGGCCTTGGGGACAGGGTGTTTGCAGAGCATCTTTTTCGTTTGGTTTGATTTTGTAGGGTTTGGTTCTTTGTACTTTGGTCTTCTAGTCTGTTGTGTTTTTATTTTACTTAGTTGGTTTTTAGTTGTAATCCACCCAGAGTCGTTTGAGAGTCAGGCAGCCTATACGTGTGAATGAATGAATGAATGAATGAATGAATGAATGAATGAATGAATGAATGAATGAATGAATAAATAAATAAATAAATAAATAAAGTTTATTTATTTTTGTTGTTTTTGACAGAAAAACAACATCTACAGATGTAGTTATTCTGCAGCATTTGGGATTTGCCTCCTTAGAAAGGGGCCCATTGTAATCAAGCAAGAAATAGTGATATGGTAAGATTAGAAATGAATTGCCTTTGTCACAGATTCCCTCCTTACTGTTCAGTAGAAGAACATTAAGAACAACATCTCAGCAAGAGGTTCTCTCACGTGGCAAAAAAATTAAAGTATTTTCTATATTAAACATACTTTAATAAACATATAAATGTACAGCAGATGCTTTTCAGGCATTTTTTAAATATTTTAGCTTCTAAAACAAAATATGCTTTAGCATTTAGGATGAATAGAGACAGCAAGAAGCTCAGTAATAGCCTCTATCTCTTAAAGATTTTGTAACCAAATTAGTCAAAACTGCAATTTGACAATAAGTGCTCTCCTTTTTATTAGATGAGGTAGATTTAAAAATGAGATGTTAAGTCTAATTGGTGCCAGTATAACATGAATGGCTATCATGTGACCATTGATACCATTGCCAAAGCAGAGCAGCTGGTTTTGTGCTGAATTAGCAAATGCCACATGCTCTGTGGAACAGTAGATATCAAATAAAGCTAAACATTTATCGATAAGTAATATAGCTGCAGTTAAAGGTACTGGAACTAGGTACTTGTATGATGCATAGTAAAAGGGGAGTCATTCTGAGTGCAAATCATCTTGCAATCATCTTGCAAATTATGTTAACTGCTTCTTTGCATTTAATTGCTAATTATTAGAATGGAAAAGCTATTAACCAGGAAAGAAAGTAGAAACTGATAATTATTAGGACTGAAGATTTTAGAAGGATAATTTAAGACTTCTTCTGAAGCTAGCATTTCCTTTGGGAAATGTATCGTTAGTGATAATAATCTCTCAAAGCAACAGTGATGTTCTTCAATGCTGCAACAGGAAAGGACATAATAATATCCACATACTATATGCCTGGTCATCATTCCTCTTAGCTGATCTAATCATATTTTTAAAAACCTGCACATTACATACAAAGCTGATTTTAGGGTAGCCATCTACTTTAAATGTAGAGTATTTTCAGATTAACTTACATTTAGCTATGATAAAAAAAAGAATCTTCATATTTTGTTCTACATATTGAGGGTATCCACCCAGGGGTGTCAAAAAAGTGAAGATAGCATCGATGACTGTGCAGCCAAAGCCACCACCATCTGTTTTTATGTGCATTGCAACACACGTGAACAAGGGACAGGACTTCAGTTGCAGCTGACATCTTGAAGTTTTTGACTGCCCCTGCTACATATATAATATATAATGCACAGTGGACTGAATTGTCGAAGAGCACTGTTTTCAAGCTTCCGCTGCTGAGGAAAAGCATTGGATTTTCATTTTTGTTTTTCTTTTTTTTTTTAGAAAAAGCCAGTTAATATTGAATTGTCTTGTAAATTATTCACTACTAAAGTGTTCAGCTTGTTACTCCTTGAAGAACTAATGCCTGCATTAGGTTTTATCGATCTTTCACTACATTCAAATAATCCACTTACATCTTAAAACAATAGTATTGTAAATTGTGATAATGACATTATTCTGCAAATTGCAGCAGCACTGGTTTCTTTATTGTTGATGTAACACATGTTCATGTAATCCATAAAAAGATAGAATGACTATAAATAACAACAGATAATACAGCTTTGTACAGTGAGTGGGTCAAATCAAGGAAATGACATAGAGGAAGAACTAAACATTCTCCTAAGCAGCATGGCCTTGATTCAGATGGGACCACCAGCTTCTTACAAGGCCAGTGTAATAATAGTCTTTGCCCACTTTTGAGGTATGTGTTGCTGCTTTACGACCGGTGTACATTGAACACATTTCTTTACCTTTTAGCTGCTTCTGGTATACTCTCAGCTATCTGGAATTTTATGTGTTTGAAGACTGCAATCACAGGCACAGGGCAGCTGCAAGGATCTTTTATCAACCAATTTGTCAGAAAAGTTAGCTTTCATGTAATGCTATATATGTATGTGAGAGAAAGAGAGAGAAGGGAAATACAGAAATCTATTGTGGTTTTTTTTTTTTACTATGCACTGGTTCACACACAGTGCTAACCCATGTTTTTTAAACAGTGGTTTTTCACATCACACTGATGTGTTCTTTCTGAAACAGAAGTTTATTGGTTATTATTATCTTATCTTAAAAATAATACTTTAAAATCACATAACCCATGGAAGATATGTAGTTGAATTTAACTTTCATTAGTATATAAGAGAAATAACATATTTATAGACATGAACTTCCTTGCATAAGGAAAGAGAGAAATTGAAGGGCTTAGATGAAAAAAAAATGCACCTGATTTTCCAGCCCTGTATCCAGGCAATGGAATAAAGCATATATTTGAACAATTGTATTGCCTCACACTTGTGTTGTGTTTTTCAACCACCATTGCTGTTCCTTCTCCAAACCGCTCTTAAAGCCTTCTCTATTTCTAGCCATCAAGACAGAAGACCATATCATGCCATATCATATAGGAAGCATTCCCTTATGATGAATTGGCATTCTTGCCTTAACTAATAACATTATCTTAGTAACAGTTCTGATTGTTTGATGTTTTTATGATGATTGTAACTAGATCACTAATCATCTGAGTTTATATTATGAAGAAGAAGCCCGGTGAAGTAGAGAGAAAACAAAACACATTAATGAACTTCAGAAACCGTAAAAAAATTGGCAGTGAGAAAAAGAGCATTGGAATGATGGGACAGATCTTCATTTTTGATTCAGCAATGGTTATTAAAGAATATTTGGCAGATTCTGATAAATTATTCCTGTTGAAAGTGTGTTAAGTCTCATTGAAGATAAGATAAACTATAAAGATAAACTTGTACCACTGTTTCAGAGTTAAATTTTTAAAAAATGAAAACAAAACAGGCACAGTTTTTGTTGTTGAGGTGTATTTTAATCAGAATGGAAATTAATGTGATGTGGTTGCTTCTTTATGAGTTCAACTGATATAAAATTAAGAAAAGCATAAATATCTGACCACCCAGGCATCAAGTATCTGTTAGAAACAAGGTGGTTTATACATTTTCCACAGAATGAACTTTTCTTTAAGAGGCCACACTTCAGAAAATACATCTGGAGAATAAACAAGTACTTCCAATAGAAGAAAATATATGTAGCTCAGGGTTGAACTGTGGAGTTCTTGGTGCTCTCTGAGCTTGGTTGTTTGCTTGCAGATGTTTCATTACCCAACTAGGTAACATCAACAATGCTAGTGAGTCTGAGGTTTGCTCCCTGTTTATATACAGTAGCTGGCCCAGCCAGTGTTGGTGGGAGTGTGGTTTTCCAGAAGCAAAAAGATCAGAATACATCCTCCCCAGCAGCCTATACCCAGATAAGCAGGGATTAACACCAAACAAACAAGCAGAAATCAATATCCTAATCAAGGAACTACCAAGGAGAAAACCACACCAACTTGCACTGATGATGTTGCCTAGTTGGGTAATGAAACATCTGCAAGCAAACAACGAAGCTCACAGAGCACCAAGGACTCCAAACAAGTATTTTCCAAATACAATATTGCTATCTTGTGGCTTCTTTCTGTTGCATTTACAAATATTTCCTTGGATAACTTTTTGAACTTTCAGGGCAGCATATTAGTGTGATACAGTAAAATTCTGGGATATTTCACATATTTTCAAATACATGGGTGTTTTTATGTTAATGTTATCTAGAATTCCTATCATGAATGCCAAATAATGTTTGTTTATAGCATAAATTATTGCTTCTAAGCTTCTCCTGAATGAAAGAGGAGAGAAAAAAACCTTACATAAAGTAAACTATATATTTAACTAAGGGATATGAAAGTAATGTCATGACCTGTTAAAAGAAATTTCACTAGGGACAAAACACATTGTGGCATTTTAGTCAAATGAAATGAGGTATGAAATATCCTCAGGAGGGGGACGTTTTAATCAGAGAGGGGAAAGAAGTGTTTACTATTCTCTTGTGTGTGGCTTTTCCTCCCAAAATAATTACCAGCATCTTTTATCACATTAATATGGTAAAATGGATCCATATTTATTTTGCACATATGGCCGAGAACAGTGATGGCGAACCTATGACATGCGTGTCAGCAGTGACACGCCATGACATTTTGGATGTCACGCCAGCATTCACCGACACCCGACAACTATTCTCCCTGTTTGAGTTACCAAAGAAGCTGAGTTTGTTTTACTCATATTTCATTTTTGTCATTATTTGATGTTTCTTTATATAATACATAGCACCACACATGATTGGACTGTATTTTTTTAAATAAATGAATATGTAAATAATTGCTTCTCTTTTGTTCAGGTATGGCAGTTGTAGATTAACAGATTCTGTATTTTTTCCAAAAATTTCCTAACCTTGATTGAAATTTTACATGAATGTAACCACACATGATTGGACTGTATTTTTTTAAATAAATGAATATGTAAATAATTGCTTCTCTTTTGTTCAGGTATGGCAGTTGTAGATTAACAGATTCTGTATTTTTTCCAAACATTTCCTAACCTTGATTGAAATTTTACATGAATGTAATTTTATTGCATTCTTTATCTTCCTCATTTTCCTTTAGCACAAAGCTATAGAAGTAACAAATAGATTTTTTAAAATTCAGCATTGCCACATAATTCTAAAAACTATATTCATCACTGATTTATTTCACAGAGATATGAAAACAGAAGGTGGAAGGCAATGTCATTCTACTGCAGGTGTTTGCTTGAAAGATATAGTTGGCCTTGAAGGTGTGGAATTAGGAGCTAATGGAAAGGTACGGGTACTTTTTCTTCAAAATATAGTCTCTGAAGTCAGATACTACATTAATTAGCATCTTTGGGGAAATGAAAATTTCATGAACAGTCTCCAATTCTATAGGACGTGATTATTAATCATTAGATTATTCAGTTCATTAGCAAGTTTATGCTAAAATCATTAATCCCCTTCCAGGGAGTAAGCTTCACTGCATTTAATGGAATTTACTGCTAACTAGTTATTTAGTCAAGTTGAACTGTGCAGCAGCAGTTTTCTATAAATAGCTCCCTGTTCATCTTCTATAACATGTTGTCTCAAACTGAACTTGAATTTCTTTTTCTTTTCTTCTTGATTAGACTGTTTCTTATACCCAATTTCTTTTTCCAACCAATGCCTTGGGGGCACGGAGAAACACAATAGACTCAACCTCATCCTTTTCACAATTTCGTAATGCAAGCCATCGTAGCCTTTCATTGGGAAGAGCTAACAGCACCCAGGGGAGCATTGATACAGGTAGTATATTAACAATATGTGCACATGTGATCTAATTGGCCATTTCTGAAATGATGTGACAAAGCTACCTTTGGACATGTTCTACAAATCTACTGCACTGTGCTTTTCCTCTTATAGTATGAAATCAAATAATAATATCACTCACTAATCTTGCAACAGCTGCTGATACTGATGGGAGGTCTTGCTTCAGCATATGGCCAAAAGCTAAGGCATCTTGCTGTGACTAAGCAAGATTGATCATTCTAGATGTTCACTCAGTGCAGCACAGCTATTTGTAGATCAAGCATTTCACTGATATAAGTGTCCAGTAAGTTCATTTTCCACAATATAATGTGAAAAAATAGTTTAATTAGCCTCTACATTGATATCTAATCATAGAGTTGATATGAAATTCATGCTTTATCATTTAGGTAGGAAGCCTGCTTCCTTTTCTCATCTACACCTTGTAATTCCTTTACTTACATTTCTTCCATCTATTTGTCCATCCATCTACATTAGCACTTCCCTAATTTGTCTTTGGAAATTAAATCAGCTTTACACCCTAGCTCAGACCATTCAGTTTTAAATATGTATTTCAGATACAGAAAGAAAAAAAAAACCCAAGGCAGAGATAATATTATATAATTTGATTATCCATTTGTCTGCTGTTGTTTTATGTCTCATGCAGTTGCTTCTTTTCATTAATATTCTTCATAGGCAGTGACTTGGGAGATTATACTGAATACAACCCTAATCTTTTAGATGATCCTCAATGGCCATGTGGAAAGCACAAGAGGGTGTTGATATTCCCTTCCTATATGGTGAGTATAATACTCAGAAACATGACAGATAGTTAAATTTCAATTATAATGGTTGGTTATACTTTTGATTTTTATATGGCTTGATTACTCTTATGTCATATGAGGGTAACAAACTGGGATGCTTGTACTGAAATTTGAATAGCATTTGTAGAATTGTGCTCACAATGGAAGAAGAGGACAATGAAATGATCACTTGATTTTTATTCAGTGCTTCAGCAACATCAACTTAATACATTTATTATTTTCTTTTTTTTTTAATGGAACGGTTGATCCCCTGTTTACTTACATACTCTTCTTTACCCTTGAGAAACTGCTTCTCTCTTTATTGGTGAGTGTCTTGTAGTATTTCATATAAGGACTGCTTGAACATCCATTTAGACTTCAGAAAATTCTGCTGCCGCCAAGAGTTATCATTCATCTTTTCTTAGTAAGAGAAAATGATCAATAAAGCTGATACTGAGACCTGGTTCATATGATATTCCAGCAAATCGTATCATGCAGTTAAAAGTTGGGCATCCAACAGTATACTTAGGCCTAATTGTGATGAAGCATCATTCCATTGTGGCTACTATCAGCATGAATTATGTGTAGATCTCTTTGTATAAGCAGTTAGTTATAAAACTAACTTACGTGGTTTGGCTTTCCAGTCCACCACCATCAGGGGCAGATTTTGAGGATGTGTATTTGGAGGCAAGTTGCAGGGGTGAGGAGAAAAGAAAAAAAATTCTTGCGCAAGTGGATTTCCACTTGCATGACATTGGATTCTGCCCACTGTATAACAAAAGCCAAAAGAGGTCTGTAACATTGAAGGGAATACAGTTATTTTAATTGCTACATTTTACAAGGGTACCAAACTGAGAGTGGCCCTTGTGTCAGCGTGGAACAGTTTGTTCTCTGCATGCTGAAATCTGGTTTGTAATTAAGCAGTCATTTGTTGGCAGGCTTTTGTCATTATAGCTTGGCAGCTATAGCCTTGTAAAATTGTTCTCTCTCATGGGTGAGGACAGACACATAGATACATGGGATGGGTGGAAGTAGAATATACAAAATGGTCTGAAATAGTGGTGTATATCTTGTACAATATATTAAAAACATTGCACTCCTTGCACTCTTGTCATTGTTTTTGTTCTAGTTTGTAGAGTAGAATTATGTTGGCAGACTAGGGACATAATTAACTAAATTAGGACTTAGAATTTGGCAGAGGCAGAAAAAAATCACAGAATTTTAAAATTTGAGGCATTTGGATTTCTTCAAAGAAATGTCCCTTGATGACACTGAATGCTTACATAACTTTACCGAGCATGCTTTGGAGGGGGATTGGCGTAAAGTATTTCCATTAGCTATGCTAAGACTATAGTACTCTGGAATGTATCATTTGAACAGTGGTTTAGGGGGGAAGAACAGAAGTTGCAAGAAATATGCAAACTGTGTTTTCTTTTTCCACAACGCCTTGTTTCTGAAGGAATAAAAATTTCTGTGTCGGGTTTGAGGAGGAGGAAAGTAGATTGTAGTTGCTGCTGCTTAAACCAATCTATGTCTAGGTTAGAAACAGAATTCTTTGGCAGAGTTATGTATTTGTCAGCTTGTGTACTGAGAAATACATCTGTCTACAGTCTGGCAGAAGGTTATATTCTAATGTAGTCCATTCCATCCATTCCATTACAGAATAGCTTCTGTCAGATGCATGGGGAAGGATATAATTTATGTTATTGCCTGCAGTTCCATCCTTCCCTGCTTCCAAAGGTTGAGGAGGGAGTCAGGATTCTGCAGAAGGAAGAAGAGAATAGAAGGTCCTGCTGTATCAATAAATGACTGCTTCTACAACATTGGATTTCACCCAAAGTAGCTTTATATCACACTACAATATACAGCAACATTTCAGATGATGAGTACTCAAGAATTGATTCAAGCAAACAGTCCTGAAAAGCTTCTGCTCAGGCTGAAGTGATTTTTTTTAAAAACAATACATTGCATTATTCTGTCCTAAATGCCATACAGGAGTGGTTAAAGATGCACACTACTTTGAAAATTATTTGGAAGAAGTTTTTCAGGCTTCATGCAAGCACAATACAGCTGAACAATTCATTAAAGTAGGCTGCCTTTTTCAGGTGTCACATAAGCCTGAAAAAATATGTCACTGCTTTAAGGAATCCATGCACTAAAAGCAATGAAGCTTTTAAAGCAGCAACACTTTGTTTCAGGCTTACCCAAAAACAAGGGTGGTGTTTGAAGCCAAATTTCTTGCACCATAGCATGTCTGAATGCTTCGATGTTGATTAATTTGGATAATGAAGAAGTAGCTGCCCAGATCCAGAAATCTGTACACAGCTATAACTTACACATTTAATGCTTATTTATATTACAGTTTCTAAATGTTTCATATTTTTCCAACTTGGAAATTATTGAAAAAAAATTCTAGGGAAGTACAGCATTTGATTTTGCTTCAGGTTGTTTCCAACTTTGATAGTTACTGGAAAATTTCAGGAGTTATTTATAATTGCTTTCATAGTCAAGAAATTCTCCTTGGTGACTTGTCTCAACAGTGAGTTATAGGAGAAATTCAGAAGGACTTAAATTGTGCTGCAGGGGAGCACCTCATATTTTGTTGTCCATTCCATTGAAAGGGATTATTCTGCTTGTTGTATCTGGCTTAACAGTTGAATGTCTGCCAGGATAAATAGCTACCAGTTCCAGTGGACTCATGCCAGCTGTTCTCCCATGTTTAAGCGCTAACAGCATATTTCATGTCTTCAAAAGTAAATAGTTTGCCACATTCAACACTCTTGGGATGAAAAAACTGGGCAGGTCACTGGGTATTTTCTTGCCCTTTATATTTTAAAGATTAATAAAATTTACAGCTGTATTCTGAGAAGTTTTTATATACTTCAGAACTTCATAAAAAATCCCTGGCAACTCTATTTGGCTCTTTCTCTTAGTAATATACAGGAAATAATGAAGGATGTATTAACTAGCATTATTAACCAAATTATTGATCAGAAATAAAATAATTAATATATTGAGGGAAAAAGGAAATTCTGGTAGAAAGAGCATAGAGTGGAATGCTCTTATTTAGTATGTACTTTCACACAATGACTGTACCTCACCCTCCCATTATACTTGAAAGAATACATTCCCTGAATTATTCTTGTATTATTTTTATAAGCTATTTTGGAGCTTTGTAGGTTTCCAGATAGACTATGAATTGTGATTTGGGACTATATGTTGGCATATATCTTAAAAAATGCCAACTGCTTAAATATTAAAATTGCATATATATATAATTTTATTAAGAATTTTGATTATAGTACTAGAATCTAATACAAACTAAACTTAAAGAAAGGGAAGAGAATAGAAGGAAAGAATAAAAGGTGCAAGGAAAAAGAAAAAATGAAAGAGAAAAGAAAAAAAAGTAAGAATATGATAAAGAGAAAAAATATATAAAGAAGTGACTTCAAACTTTTATTACAAGTATAAACAAATTTAGTGACTCTTCACTCTCTCTAAGGTTACAAACATTTATCTCTTCATCCCACATCCCATCCCTTATCTATAGACAAATCCATAAAGCATCAACTTTTCAGTCCTGGTATCAGCAAAAAGTCCATAAAGAGTTCCCAGAAGTAACAACATATCTTGTTTTAACCTCAATCAAATAAACCAACTTTATATTCCTTCCTTTTACTTCTAACAATCTTAATTTTAGTTCTTTGAAATATTGTCATAGGATTTTCATTTCTTCTTTGTCCCATAGGACAGAATTCTTCAAGGCTATAACAAGCCTCTTTTGTAAATCCAATAGGAAAAAAACTATCCAGATCACTCTCTTGGTTTATCATTTGTATTTCCCTTTTGAATTTTAAAACATCAGCCAATC